CGCTGTCAGCTTATATCATAGATGTATAGCTTCTTACATCCGAGATGCAGGATTCGTATCGCGCCTAAGTAATGCCCCCCCGAGAGCGGCTTCTTCTATTGCATCATCGGTGTGTTTCGTAAAGTTTGTCACGCGGTGCGCGGCGACGTTGTTTGAATGTTTGCTTGTTGTTGGTAATGCCTACTTACCATCTACTTACCATCTGCTTACCATCTACTTACCATCCACTTACCATTTACTTACCATCTACTTGCCTACTTACCTACTACCATCTCGTGGGGTGTTTTTTGTGGTTGTTGCAGGGAGTCAAACCACTCAGTATGGACAAGCTAGAGAATGCAGAAATCAAAGATATTGTAAAAAAGTGTGTCAAGACGAATAGGGCTGAGAGGTAGGTACACACACACGGAGATATGTACGCACGCATGCACGCGCGCGCACGCACACACACACGTACGCTCGCACGTATGCACGCACGCACGCACGCACGCGCGCGCGGGCACACACACGTACGCTCGCACGCATGCACGCACGCACTGATTCACACGCACAGGTACACTCATGCACGCGCACACGCACGCGCCACGCTGACGCACAAACACACAAACACATACGCACTCTCACACACACGAACACGCACTCTCACACACGCGAACACGCACGCACACGTGCATACACGCGCACACACGTGACGCGCAGAAAAATTGACGACGGCAGACGATCGAAAACATCGGATAGGGTTATGTGGAAACAGGAAATAGTGGAGGGGACTTCTATTTTTACACGTATTTTGCCCCAGATTCCCCACTCTAGCATTACGTATATGTCGAGTGCACCAGATATTATAGTTAACCTAGGAAGAGAGGAGACAGACACAAGCTGCTGCTGCTGCAGCATTTTCCGCGCGTGCGCGTGTGTGTGTGTGTGTGTGTGTGTGCGCGTGTTTGTGTGTGTGCTGTGGCGGGCTTTAATAAAAACAAACGTGTGCGCGTAAGTTCAATCTCGCTGTTTGTTATTTTATGGAGGTATAACGTACGAACAGGCTGTCGGGAGGAAGTCTCTCCTGTAGGGCAATTAGGGTTAGGGATGAAGGGAAGATGAGTGATGGGGTTAAAAATGGGAACATGGTGTGAAACGGGATATTGCTAGGAAGCTGATGAGGGATAGTGGACAGGTTAGGGTTAGGGATGAGGGATAGTGGACAGGTTAGGGTTAGGGATGAGGGATAGTGGACAGGTTAGGGTTAGGGATGAGGGATAGTGGACAGGTTAGGGTTAGGGATGAGGGATAGTGGACAGGTTAGGGTTAGGGATGAGGGATAGTGGACAGGTTAGGGTTAGGGATGAGGGATGTACGAGTAATGGGGTTAAAAATGAGGGAAATGGTGTGAAACGGGATATTGCTGGGAAGGGGTGAGGGATAGTGGACAGGTGGGTTATGGTTAGGGATGACGGATGTACGAGTGATGGGGTTAAAAAATGGGATAACGGTGCAAAACAGGTATCGGGCTAGGAAGATGTTAAGAAACACATTTGTTGGACGAGTGCTCAATGAGTCTATTCATAAGTAGGAGTTAGTGTTAGAGTTTGGGATTAGAGGACAATGAAGGGCGAAGTATGTATGATCGTGATGGGCTATTCGTGAGTCGTCTGCTCTCTAAGAGTTAGTGTTAGGGTTAGAGATGGGAAAATGATGTGGAGGAGGGGTTAGGTACCGTTAGGCTACGAATTATCCATAAGCCTGCTCCGTAGGACCCAACGTTAGGGTTAGGAATGAGAAGCTAATGAGAAAGGATGGGTTACTCCTGGAGTTATCTGTTTTCTCCCGTAATTAGTAATTAGTAATTAGTAAATTATTTAATGAAAGTAAATTTTAGTTCATACGAATCCATACGAACCCGTCCATGGGCATTTTTTCCGAAAGATGAAAATATTTTCCCCCCAACTAAGTATATATAATGCGTCCCCGCTCTCTCGCGCACGCTCACCCGACCGGCTTCCCTTCTCTTCCGCTTCCAGGCCCAAGGTCAAAGACCTGCTCATGCACGAGTTCTTTCTCGAAGACGCCGGCTTCAAGGTCGAGCTCGTCGACCCGGACGCGGTTGCCGCGGGCGACGGATGCGAGATCCAGATGCGGCTGCGAGTCGTCGACCCGAAGAAGCGCAAGGACAAGCACAAGGAGAACGAAGCCATCCAGTTCGACTTTGACTTCACGAAGGACCAGGCGGAGGAGATCGCCATGGAGATGGTGAGTGCTGAGAAGGGGGAGGAGGGGGGATGAGGAGGAGGAGGAGGAGGAGGTGGTGGAGGAAATCGCCATGGAGATGGTGAGTACTGCTTCTGCTGCGGGGGAGGAGAGGGAGGAGGGAGGTTGGGTGTGGGATAACTGCTCTCTGTGTCTGTCTGCCTGTATTTCGGTCCATCTCTCTGTGTCTTTGTCTCTCGCTCTCTCTCGCGCGCGCGCTCTCTCTCTCGCCCTCTCT